ACGCAAAGCATACAGCATTCTGGCAGATGCCAAGGAAAAGGATACCCTTTTTTTCGTTTTTATGTTTTCTTTAAGTGAAACTGACATTAAAAATTATAACACCATAACCTTTGCAATCCCAGAAGTATTCCTAACAAAGAAATCCCAAAAAACAAAAACTTGAAATACATTTCAATACGATTTACCAATGGAATCACAACTACATAGAAGTAATTGATAACCGCTCAATGGTTGGAGTATAATTACCTCCAATTTTGGGCAAAGGCACAGAGACAGAAGAGGATGGCCTTCCAGCAACCAAGCTTCCTTCAATGTAAGAATAAGATCTACGGGTCTTCACGTAATTGAGTTTTAATTGATGTGAATATCCACCAAAGCTAAGCCCCTTGTTTGGAAAAGTTGTTCCTTTGGTCCAAGTGGGCTGTTGAATAGAACCCATCACTGCAGCTCCACCACAAGCCTGCATCTTGGCTTCCAAATACTATGCCTGCCGCACAAGCTCCTACAGATTTCACACAAAACTATGAGCGGTGAGCACAAGTTTAATATACAAACGAAACGAATATGCATAATGCACACATGGGTATATCAATTTAATTCTATAAACAAAAATCTATGCAAAGAGTTCAAAAAATTGTTTGGAAAGTAGTCATTCTCATACAAAATCACACACGCTACAGTATTTGACTCCTTAAACTTCTTTTTCAAATGACTGGGGCTGAGAATTCGAAAGAGAAACGTCTTCCTAAGCAGAAGAAACACTTAGAATATGTTGATGATCACAGCTTTTAAACAGAAAGAATAATCTAATCAAAAGGTTAATAGTAAACTGACGCACTTTATCAGGTTTGCTGAGGATAGAGCTTCCTTTGCAATCTGGCGTTAGGAGCAAAGCTGACGATGGAACTCGCACAGGGAAAACGGTGTTAAAGTTTTTTTTTTTTTTTTTGGGGAACAAATTAGGGTTCTTGTTCTGACCAAAAAATAGAAGAACAGAGCACAATATCAGACCCGTTGCAAAAACCTTGGTTTTCTTTTTTAAAAAATAATAAAAATGTGAGGATTTTGTGGTGGGAAAACTGTTGGATTTTTTTTTTTAATTTTTTTTTATTTTGGTGCTAACACCCGAGATTTTCTTTTGCCCTTTTCATTTTTATTTCTTTTTAATTTAGTAAAGGGAACTTTTTGGGTAGCAAAGACGGTGGAATAATCAAATTCAAATGGAGACCTCTTCCTTTCCTATAAAGTTGTGTTTGGTCCGCATTAGAAAAGGACTACCAACAAGAAATGGGAAAAAGTTTCTTCCTAATGGACAAATAGGGGACGAAAATGAAACCTTTCGTCCACTTTTTGTTTTAATATAATTTTAATCTTTCTTATTCCTACATCCATTTTGACTTTCATTTTCCTTTCTCATGAAAAACTAGGAGTCGGCATAGTCATATTCAGTCAGATTCTCACCCCAAATCAGAATTAGAACCGGAACCGAAACTATTTATCTAGTCAAATTTAGTTTGGTTTTGACAGGGAAAATTATAAAATTGATTCAGTCTGATTTGTCCACAAGCCTATTTGGTTTTCGATTTTGGACGAGAACCTCTTTGTTTTTAAATGGAGAATGCCACATCTATAACCTAACAGAGCATTGATTACTAGGAATTAAATTAGGACTTCAACATTGAAATTCTTGTACTCTCTTTCTCTTTATGTTTGAATTGAAAACTTGGCATGTAATCAGAATGGTGGCGTAAGACGATTTTTGCTAGTTGTATGCAATTTTACTTTTTCCTCTGTTTCCTTAGTTTGGTTAAATTTTGCAATTGTTTATGATGCAAGGTCGATAATTGGCCATACTAATCATCTAGTGTGCTAAGTAACATCGCACTGATGAGTTAGTGTGATTTCACTGATTTGGACTCAATGTGCACTTCAATAATATGTTTGTGATTTTTTTTTTGTTATACCATTTTGTTATATGTCATATGCATTTGCCCTCTTTTATTCTTTGGGGGTTACAAGTGGTAGCTTAAACTTATGGAGAGGGTAATCAAATTTCGGAAGAAAGGGGTGGGTACATTGTCCTGGCCAAGCGGAATTGCGGAATCTCTGATCAATTTTCTTTTTATAAACACCCTTTGGGAGAAACAAAAGTGCTTCGTATATCCTCCCTTCGCCTTTAAATCCAAATAAAAAGGAAGAAGAGGAGTTTACTGCTTTTACTCATTTCTTTCAATGGCATTTGAGGTTCATGGACATAAAATTCCAGATATGTAAATTTTTGAAGCTCTAGATACTATCCTTCTATTCACAAGGTCACAAACAGTTCTTTTCTTTCCTTAAACCCCTACAAGTCTGAAAATTTGTGTTAACTTTTGTTTGAGTTTTTGTGTGGTTAAATTATAAAATAAATGGTCTTGTATAGTTAAATTTAAAAATATATATATAGTGAATTTGGCTCAACTCGAAATGTGTTTATGCTAGTTGTGCCATGTGTAATTTGATCATAATATATAAAAGAGTCAGAAAAAAATATCAGGAAATTTGATACGAAGTTTCTGACTATCGCTCCTATATACAATTTTGGGTCAGTTTTTACCAAGTTCAAATTTAGGTAAAAAATTGTGGGGAGGATTGGAGGTACTCTGGAATTTTAGAAATGACAATTATTTAGATAGAATTTGAAGTTGATATTTATCACTTTCAAATTCCTTCTTTTTTCTCACGTGGATTTTTGGATTTCTTTTTTTTTTTTAATTTTTTTATATCCAAACACGGAATTTGGTTTTCAGTTTAAAAATTATAACTTTTGTCAAAATCCCAACTGAAAAAATTGTGACTTTTTTCCGAAAAGATAGATATTGTCATTTGTCTCTTTGTTTTATTTTTCTGGATGGCAAGGGAGCTTATGAATTATGATAAAGATATGTAAATTTTTTGAACATAAAACATATCTTATCGATACAAGTGGATAATTAATGAGCATGAGAGAAAACATTATGCATAAGATAAACATATAGCCCTAGTTTGAAGAAAGGAGATGAGATTAATTAGGTGTAAATGAATGTTACCAAACTACTATAAACTTGGAGTTAACCAAGTGAGTTTGGTCAGTAGTGACAAATTAACACTTGGAAAGGGTCGCTGAATTCTCCTAGAATCTAGGTAGAATACACCAATCTCACGAGATGTATATGTTTCTAAAGAATGTAACCCCCATATGTTGTTTGTTGCAAAATAAATGCAATTTCCGTCAAATCCTTGGATATTACTAGCTGGATGCAGGGACATGCATTCAGCATCAGAGCAAAAGAACAGTTGGTCGTCCCCCAAACATTGTACCCTCTCAAAATTGTTATTCTCTTGGTCAACCTTGTATACTCTAAATTCACTTGTCCTCAAATATGGTCTAGAGCCCGATGCATCTTCAGAAGCAATATCGACGTGGCGAAATTCACCATTATTAACTCCTTCATCTTGATCATCGTTATTGTTATCTTCCTCCTCTTCCTCATCATCCTCATCCTCGTCATCAGTCTCTTCCTCATCATCAATCTCTTCCTCGTCCTCATCATCCTCATCATCAGTTTCCTCATCATCAATCTCTTCCTCGTCCTCGTCCTCATCCTCATCCTCATCATCAGTCCCTTCCTCATCATCAATCTCTTCCTCGTCCTCGTCCTCATCATCAGTCCCTTCCTCCTCATTCTCGTCCTCCTCCTCGACATCACCATCCCTTCTTAAAAAGGAATCTAGTATTTGATGGATCACGAAGACTTCATTATTTGTTGCTGATTGTAACAAATGAGAGGCGTACATTCCTTTCAACAAGATCTGGTAGTCATCACGATACTCAATGCTTGGATTTAAATCCCTTAGGCTTTCTCTTTTGTCATAGACCAATTTAATTTTCACTGTATCATCTCCAAAGTTTAAGCTGTGAGACGCAACAACGATGCCATTCTTACTAACACTACCCGACGAAACCAAGGCGTATAGCATACCGGAAGAAGAAAACAATATTTTATCAAGATGTTCGTTTTCATCTAATACATGGAAGACACTCCATGTTTTGTCTCCAGGTCTGCATAAACCCAACGTCAACTCATCAAAAACTGCTGCAACAATACAGTTGTTTGATTTAACATCCGACATAGATAACGCGAATGAATTACAGAAAAGCAATGCACCGCCACGTTTCGACTTGTTTGTGTTTACGAACTTATGGAAAGATGGAATTGTTCTCAAAGATGGAAGTTGGTGTTGGTCTCTTGAAATTGGGTTTACGAGATACAGTTTGGAGTTTAATACTTTCTCTTTGATCATAACCAACCATCCTTTAGAACAACCACAAACCCGCCCTCCTCGAACCGGCTTAGGTAGGCTCAATGTGTGAAACTTGACATCTGAGACACTGGAAAAACTCAAGTACTTATTGGAGGCCTGAGGGAGCAGTAACCAAGGTAGTTGTGGAGCATTAGAAAAGTCTCTTCGCATAGCAAGAGAGTTCCAAGACTTGCAGATGATTCTTAAGCGTATACGCTCTCTTAAATTCAAGTGCTTTAAAATAATCTCCATGATATCGTCAGGCAGTGTCTGCCACCCCATATTATTGCAGCAACCGGTCCTCTGGCTTCTGTTCTCTCTCTTGCCTCCTTTGAAGCAACCGAAGAGACTCTCAATCTTCATCTCTCTCGGGTTAATTTGTTTATGAAATTGAAAATCTCAACCAATAATATATAATATATATAGTCAAGGCAAGAATAGGAGATTGATGGGGAGATGAAGTCTACTTGGTATTGTATTTAAATGAAAACAGCATCTTTGCAAGTAAGTAGGAATCCATTCAGAAATATAATCGTAATAAAATAAAAATATAATTAGACAAAAAGCAATCCATTCAGAAATCTAATTGTAACAAAACAGAAACAGACGTGCAGAGTGTTTCTAGAAAACACTAAACTGAGGAAGTGATAATCATGCTTATATTTCTCACATCTGTTTACAAGATATATTCGCCCTCGTCCAAGCGGAAGACTCTTAAAGAGAGTCTGAAACTGAAGAGAAAACTTCGTTATTGCGATTACATATATATATCACTGTAAAAATTGAACATATTTGAAAATGGAACTGTTCCACAATAATGAGGGCAGTGAATGAATACATTTTGACACACGACACAGGCTTGCGCCATTCTCTAGCATGAATATAACAAAATCCTCCATTTAGCACGACAGCTTTCACCCTCTGTTATAACTTAATATGCTTTGCCATCTCACGTACGCTTGTCAACTTTTCCTTCTTTTACATATAATCTCATGCATTGCATATCATTTGCTTTTGTAAACAATCTCTTCGTCATCAACATCAAATGCTGGATTGCAAAGGCATCTGAAGAGCCTGCCAATACCCTGCCAGGGAAGAAGGCAAAGGAACACATCAGCTACATTAACCGGTTAGCGTGATTTGGTATATTTCCTTAGGTGTATAGAATCTTATAACATGCCTGAGTGAGAAAAGGAGTTCTATATGAAAGTGGTCGTGGCGAATCCTCTTCAGAACTGCTATCGGAACTGCTCCCGTCGTCGTCTGTGTCAGCTGAACTTTTCCTTCTTGAAGTTCCACCATTTCGTGTCTGCTTTTCCTCCTAAAACCAGAAAAATTTGTATCTAGTGTCAGCAGGTCATCACTTAAAAAGATTTGTTTTCATGCTTTGATTCTCCTTTTGTTTACGTGGTTACCAAAGCACAAAAATAAGAGGGAGGAATGTAAATGGGACTGAATGATGTGTGAAAATCGTCATCCAAAATTAATAAGGAAATACTATAATGGGCATGCAGAACCTTTGCATTCAAGTTTATACTCAAGATGAAGAATGCGCCAAAATCCAATAAACAAGAAATGTTCCTCTACAAGATTTTGCATAAATCGTAACTACACACCTGAAATATCCTTCCAAGGTGTTTGAGTGCCAAAGCACGAGCTTTAAGTTCATCTTTTCTAAGATTATTTTCCCGTAGAACCTGAAACCATATTTTGGAATCATGAGAAGGATCTCCAGTTATCTGACAGGTGTCAAAATGCATTGCAGGAGATGGAAAAGAAAAACCAGTTTCATGAAAAGAAAGGTTTCTGTTGATTGTAAGAAATCACTAACCATTTGACAAACATGCATGAGAGTTACTTCAATGTCCACCACATTCAATTTCCACAATGAGTTCAAAAGTGTGTCTTTGTTTAAGCGTATATGTGATTCAACATTATTTTCAGGGCCACTTCCATCCATTTTAAATTGCCGACGGATTTCTTCTTGAAGTTGGAGCAACTGAAAAGCACCTGAATTCATTTTTTTCCCGATATAATTAGGTGAAAAGAGGAATTAAAATTTCCCTGTAGAAAACACGACATTAACATTGAATGAGGGGCAGAGTCCTGGATGATTTTATGCAGACCTTTTGCAGCAGTCATCTGTGACTTCCAGAAATGTCCCTTATTCCGTACCCACTCAGCCAAAAATGGTACTCCTAGGAATATGGTTTTCTTTCCAAGCTCTTGTGCTGCTTGTCTCGAATATACGTAGCCAATAGTGTGTAGCATTTCAATTCCAAAGGCTGCAATTGAGAAAGAGTAGAAAGTTTAGCGTGCACAAGTAGTGACAGGCTAATGCATCATTAATTTTTTCATGAAACTTACGGAGTCCACGCTACTATATACCGTCACAATTACATAAATTTGTGAAGCCAAAGAACAGATGGGGTGTCATATGAGCAAATACAAGTCAATAATTTATGCCTACAAGAATCAAATTCAGTTGTATTTGACAAAGCATACAAAATTTTAAGTCCTATCAGTTTCAGTAACTCATCCCTTAGTTGTCACAAAAATTAGGTTCGATATATGATTATTAGGAGCTAGAAGCTGTCATTAAAGTTCCTATCACAACTATGTCCTCAAGGATTTATTGATGTTTTCTGATAATTGACATTAGAGTGGCGTCAAGAAGAATAAATAAGACACGGTTTCTTTTTAATTTATCAGTTAAAACTTTACCAGTATATCAACTTGAACTCAAGCACTTAAATTGCTAACATATAACAGGCAGAACAGCTTAAACATAATCAAAGTAAATGAAGCTGCAATATCAACTACTATGAAGTGCATTACTTTAAAAAATTCATGTGAAGATATATCGATAATCTTTAAGTTCATCTTATACAGTATGCTGATATCAAGCATGAAGCAGATTACAGAGTACTCAAAAGAAAAGACGGAGAGGATAGAAATTCCCTGTACTATATGTGCCTTATTTTTGATTGATTTTAAATCTTTGGTAATTCCAGAAGATGATTGAAGTTGTAAACCATGAGGAATCTTTCAATTTAGGTGGTATAAATCTTTTGAGCTATGAGTATTGTCACAGCATTTGAAGTGATACAAAGTTCTTGTGGAAATTGTAAAACACTTCTATTTGCAACATTTGTCACATGGGTTCATTAACGGTTACTGAAATCATAAACAGGCCAGATGCAAATTAGTTGACCTGCATCAGAAAGTCGTCTAGCTTCAGATTCAGCATGCTGTAAGAATCCCTCTTTGTCGCCTTGAACATATTGATTAAGAAAATCTTTGAGTGATTTTGCTAGCTTTTCTTCTCTTTCTTTCTGGACAGCCTGCAAAAAATAAATCCATACTATGGATGCTGTTATAGATTAAAGGAAATGAACCAAGTGGATAAAAATTTGAGGAAACGATGATATCAAGTTAAAGTCACACCTAGGTAATCTCAATGGTTACATTGAATAGAATTAGACGTTGAGACATGAAAATCTGAAAAGCAGCAAATGTGCTCTAGCAGACATCCACAATACCTAAAAGATTGTCTGAAATATACTTAGACTTATTTAAAACATAAGAGAAATGGTCAAATAGTGGTAGAACCAGACTGAGTCTCCTTATGGGAGCAGAAGTTCTGCAACCCTACCACCCCGTGTAATTTTATGAGTATGTATTGTGAGCCTGTGACTGCAGAAGCCAGACCTTTATATTCCATTTTATTCACGAACATGAGCATAATGAACAGCATGCCTCACTAAAGAGAAAGATACTGGTATTTAATTTAAAGAGTTCTGGAATTTACTTGCCTTCAATTTATCATGCACTTTCTCAGGGCTGTCGCCTTCACCAGCTAATTGAGAAGAGGCCATTGATGCTACAGCTAGATGTCCTATGTAGTCCTCAAATAATTCACTTCCAAAAAGAAAAGCAAAGACAGCTGTGGGGTCAAGCATGGTTTCCCTTCAAAGTAAAACACAGACTTGTTAGGATATCAGGAAAAAATATTCTAAGAATAAGATTAATGCACAACTTAAATTCATAACGATACAACAACAATACTATCAACTTGCGTTGCACATGGACAAATCAAATAAGAATTTTACATTATGCAAAGGTAAGTTGGTCCAGTAGAATGTCAGAAATCAAATTCATGAAATGAAGCCAAAATTTATGTTAAGAACGTGTTTAGAGGACTAATGGCAAGACAGAAGGATTGGGAGCAGTATAATTTATCTGTAGTTATATCATAATTCATTTTCTTTGTATGAGAAAGAGCTCAAGTAACAGAAGCTGTAATAGGATCACCTAGATATCTGCGTGGATGTGTGTGCGCATACGAGCATAAGCAAATGTCAAATATAAGTATTTGTACCTAGATATGCAATACTTTCCATTTCGATCATATGCATCTCTTTGTACTGGATCACTCAAAACTTGATAAGCTTCACCTAGTACCTGGTAACAAGAAGATTTTTTTGTTAAACCTCAAGGTAATAGAACAAACACACAAGTATCCAGAGAATAAAAAACAACAAAATGACAGAGCAAGGCTCCACTTGATTCATAAGAGGATTGAAACTTTCTTTACCTCAAAAAGCGATAAACAAACGATAAAAAGAAGGATTAGAAGTAGTGGACTTGCCTGAAATCTTTCAGCAGCCTGAGGATCGTTTGGATTTTTGTCCGGATGAACTTGCCTTGCCTGCACCAATATTAGCCTCTCCATATCAGATACTTGAATTTCAAACACAGAAAAGTTTACTAGTATATAGAAAAGTTCAGAATACAAAGTTGCATTAGTTCACCAAGATTTGAACAAAATAAATCATAAACCCCTGCATGATAGTAAGAAATATGGTAAAGATGACTGTATGAGTAATCAAAGAACACTAGGCGATTCAGGTCCCTTAACAATTTAACAATTAATTATTCAATCTTTTCTGAAACTCAATCAAATTCCCGTTCTCCAATTCTCAATCTTTAATGTTTCCAATTGGACCCAAAAAAAACAAAACAAAAGGTAACCAGTCAATCAGGATCTACCACCAAGATATGTTTATTATATTTCAATTTATTCATTCTTGTATGTGATCCTACCAATGCACCAAAAAAACAACTGAAAGATGATCAGCAATTAAAAGAAACTATACAAATAAAAATAAAAAACCAAATGTAAAACTATTAATAAATGTAAAACATACCGAACTTATCAAATTAAGAAACTTAGATATCAAAGAATGAACCTTAATATAATAAGCCTTGCGAATTTCTTCCTCAGAAGCTGAGGGACTGACGCTGAGGACATCATAGAACTCAGTTTCCTTCACCATTCTTGCTAAATTAGTTGCTTTTGCCTGAAGAATCTCCCAGAGCTCAGCTGAATGTGAAAATTAAGCTCACAAAAAGAAGAGAGAGAGAGAGAGAGATTGGTGTGGACTGAGTGAGTTGCAGACTTACCTTTCCAGTTCCACAGAGGAATAAACAAAGGCTTGAAAACCACTTTTTCGCGGGAGCACAACAGTACTCCTTTTTTTAAGTGTCCCCATGGTGGCGCTTATTATGATGGGGGATAGGCATCTGCATACTTTTCTATTATATCATATGGCTTTTTAGTTGTAGTATTCTTGATCTTAGATTCGATTTGTATTTTGATCCTTAATTTTGTAAAATAGTTTGTTTTGAACTCCACTTTCATTAGCAGTGTTGATCCTTTTTTTGCCTCTAAAATATAACATAAAATTCAACAAACTCGATCAACACTGCTAATGAAAGTGGAATTTCGAGACTACAACAATCATTTTGCGAATTGGAGAACCAATATACAAATCATGTCTAAGTTCACGAATTTGAAGTGACAATATTTTCAACTGCTTTCCAATTTTTAAGTTCTAGAAATGTCACTGTCTCACTGGGTTGGGTTCTTTGCTGGTGTGGGCCTCTTTTTCCACTGTGGGTCCGTGTGTGAGGCCAGATTCTGCTTTGATCCGGGCTTTTTCACATGGGCCCAAATGGTGTTTTGATTTGAGTTTAGGACCCTACTTACTTTTCCATGTGCCTTCAAAATCCAACTCCCCATGAAGGGGAGATTCTATCATATCCTCTTAACAATTAGATATGCTCTATCTGCTTCTTTTATTTTCAAATCACTCATAATTGAAGTGTTTACTATGAATTCAAGGATTCTCTTTTGTTTTTGTATTATATTGTTAAACCGAACCATGAATTATGGAGGAGATGAATAATTGCAAACATTTGGAAACTAACACTTTAAAAACATTGTTTTGTAATTTTTAAAATAACATTTTAAAATTTCAAAAATAATAAAAGAGGTGGGCATTAGGCAACCTTCACGACAGAGGAACCTCAAAATTCTGTACTAACATTTCTTTTGTTTGTAATGTTTCCATATGGTTTTAGAAATATAAAATCAAAGCTTAGAGTATAAGGTTTGATATTTAGAGTTCATATTGAAAAAATAACCAAAATAAAATGTAAAATACCTTACATAAAAAGCGAGTAACAAAGCCTGTAATGTTTGAGGGACACCGTGCAATCATACAACTACTCCCCGATGCTACTTCGCTTAACTTTTTCTTTTCATATCACGATATAAGAAAGACTTACATGTAACAGATGTATATACATTTTACAAGTTCAACACTCGTTATTTGTTAGATCACTTGAAAGTAAATACTAATTAAATCCAAACTCGTAATGAAATAAAACATCAGCACCGGAATTGAAGGGAAAAAGAGCTACGTTAAGAATGTTTAAAAATGGAGGTTACCTTTGTGGACTTGGGTGAATGTTAGCTTAGACCAATCTAAACTACCAAAGGAATTGAAGAAAATGTTTCGGATGGACGTGACGAACTACCGTGCTATTTTACTCGCTTAATTCTGCCTAACAATAATGAAAATTTGAAGCTCTCATATTTCATGGGCATTTTGATTTTCTTGTGTTTCAAGTCGGTTTGCTGAACTCTTGGCTGTTTCCTTTTTGCATATATTAAGTGAACCAAATGCTAGCGGCAATTTAAGCCAAGAAACTCAGATTCTAATTTTGGAAAGGGAAAGAACAGCAATCACATCACATTTCACAACCAACGCAGACAAGCTTCCTATCCTTATCCTAGGTAACAAACATTTTTTTGTTTGAATTCAACATCAACTCTTTTGGCCATCAATTTAATACAAGGTCAACCATTGGATTGGATGCAAGTATTAGACTAATCATGTCACCTGATCAGCAATTAGACTAATCATCATCTGAAATACCCCTCAAACTAAACCAAAAAGCAGCATGACATGCTTCAACTTCGGTATGTACCAGGTCGAGCACCTGTATGAACTCGTATCATTTGTCAATCCTCAATAACCAGTCCTTGAAGACAGAGAAACAAAACACACACAGGTTTTTCCTTCTTTTGGATGTGGCCATTTGAAAGGCATCCAAGCTTTCATTTTCACAACAAAAAGAACTCAAATTCAAAACTACATTGAAGCAACAAATGACAATTCACTATGGGTTGTGGTAACAGTCAGGAGTTCAGGACTTACAACTTGAAAACTGAGCTGTCAGCCCAATACACTAATTAGTTAAAGACAATTTCAGGAAACTATTGCCTCAATAGTCTTTCCACATTGCTTGGATGCCGTTTTAATAAGTAAGCTGAACCTGCAAAATCAAAATGCTTACCAACTAGTAATGAAATTCCATGTGTGTGTATATGTAGCACGCATGCATGCATGTGCATGTGTTGCCATATAAATCTACACACATATACACATACCATTAACTCAACATTTACCTTGGAATATTAACGAGTCTACTCTGAAATACCAAATTGGACAACAACACAAGTTATGTTGTCTGAGCTACCACGTGCAAAAGCCTCTTGGATGAGTTTTCTAGATGCTTCTTCAGCGTCTGCTATGTCCTGCACTAAAGCCACAGCATCCTGGATATAGAAGAGACTACACTTTAAGATTTTAAGAAATTCCATAAAAATGGACGAACAGAGCAAGGGATCTGAGATATAGAGAAGATAGTCTAACTTCAAATTTTGGTGCATAGAAAGTGGATTCACGAGTTTGAAATGCTAGCAAAACTCAAAGTTCTAAGCAGTAAAATATACATCCTTCAACAACAAAGCTGAAGGGTTTGGCAATTTTCTTAGATTTCAACATTTTAGTTTGAGTTCCAATGTTTGCAGGCTCTTGCACACAGGTTTCTTGCACAAAATGTTTGGTTTTGATGGAAGAGAATTCAATAGCTCATGATAATTTTGTGGAGACCACCACAAGAGGTACATATCAATCTCATGTCCTCCACCCAGCATGGGCGGTAAGAAGAGGAAGTTATCTAGGCAACCATTAACCACATAGATCATTGAAATTGAAAATTGTGATCCCAGTGTATGTAAGTGTAATTCTTGTGGTAAGGATTATTTATAATCCAAAGAAGTGTAAGGCATACATGTAGAATGGGAACCCAGTAGCAATCAAGTCCCTCAAAATAGATTCCCAGACCAATCCACAATCTGGAACTGTTATATCTTTCTCTAGAATGGTGGAGTTACAGTGGAAGAGCTTACTGACCACTTAAGTATTATGCGCAAGATCTTAGTTTCTAAGCTAAGTCAAGTACCTTTTTCCAGCTTTAAGGGCTAATCAAATCACATGATATGATGCACGCTTTAGTTATACACAACTCACATTTATACCAGTAATTATGAGAGAACAAATCATGGTACATGATAAGATCTGTACCATTCCAAATGGCTGGCTAGATCATCTAGTCATCATCACAAGACGCCTAGGGTTGCAATCATAGTGACCAATAATGCCCCACAGTAAGACATCAACAACCACATAATGCCAACTTTTAAAGGCAATTTAATAGAAAATACACCATCAATCAGTATTGGTTCCATCAAGACAATGTCCTAGGAGGGGAAATTAGGTTGGCATTGCATGAAATAGCTGTTCTCAAGGATCAGAGTGACTCACTTGCAGTTGATATACGCCATACACAGAAGAGAAATATTACACTTTTAGTAACTAAGCCAAATGATAGATATGGCGACAGTCACATGCTGCACATACTAAGACCCATAATATCTCTTTCAAAAGTTTAAGATGAAAAATTCAAAAATTTCCTTATCTAAGAGCAATGTAATTCATTCAATACATGCACTCACCTTATTTGATATGACATTCCAAAGTCCATCGCTTGCAATAATTATAAAGTCTACTCCTTCAATTTCTTCTTCCTAAGCATAAGAGTGAAAGATAAGCATATGAACAGATACACACACATTGAGGTATATGTGTAAACACAAAGACAGAAAGTGAGTAGCCAACTTATGATTTCAGATTACCTGAATTTCTGGCTCTGCAACAACAAATGGTTTCAGTACTTTGTCTCCAAATGCACGGGAAACGGCAAGAACACCTCCAACCCGCCATGTTCCTGGCAAGTTTAACAACACAAAGCATAAGTTTGGGATTGAAATTGTTTCCAGACTTATGCACAGGTCATCCGGGAACACTGATGTTAAAGAACATAAAAAAAGTATCTGATCTGGATTTTACAGAGATAGATAGAATGATTCTGGATCCATCAGTGTGTATAACCGATAGATAGGATAATTCTGTATTCATCACTGTTATGTTTTCATTATAGATAATTATATTGTTAACAAATTAGGATGGAAAAAGGTAAAGTAATCACATAGTATAATCTGGCACACATAGATAAGGGGAGCAACATACAGAGACAACTTGCATCAAAGGACGGAAATTGGGAAAAATTAACTAGGCTGCTCTTGGGCACATATGATATTTGTTAAAGTTGGGAGTATCTAATCCAAAACCAATAGGCAATGGGATTAGAGGCCAAGATACTATATATTTTCATGCAAGGCTATGGATTCTTGATGTGAGATTCTCTATTCTCTAGACGCCCCTGGCGTGACTGAACCAAACACACGGATCAATTATATTGGGTGACCTGAGCATATGTGACTGTTAGGCCTAACAAGTGGATTTCCAGCACTGATACCATGTTGAAGTTAAAGCATCAACCCAAAACCAATTGGCTATGGGTGGAGACGCCCAAGATATTATATTTAGTCATGCAAGGCTATGAACTCGTGACAAGAGATTCTATATTCTCAACAATATCAGTACAATTACAGGGAGATCATCTTAGCCTGCAGTCCCACAGCTGGACAATATTCTTTTCCGAACTTAAATAAGAGAACATTTCTGTCAGATATTTCATTAGTTTGTTGATAGTACTACAAGGTAGAAGGTAACTGATGTAATCCCAAAAAGGGAGCAAAGGATGGGAATGAGTAAAAAGCTCTATCTGTAAAAGAAAATCCACCATTCGAATGGCTTGGTTTTGGCAGCTTTTTCCTAATTTTTTATAATTGTTTATCATGCATGTGTTATTACTATATCAGGTGATACACTTGAGTCATAAAGGGTTAAAATTAAAAAGTCAACTTCATTTATGGCAATCCAGAAAAAAAATATTTACAAATATAAGTTACTGATTGAAGTTCTAGTCATTGTAATTAATGCCATAATCAACAGGTGCCACAAATATTGGGAAAATGCAGCCTTACCACTATAAAAGTATACATCACACGGACCAATTGAAACCATACACTGAAGAAAATGTGCTTACCTGCCCAAATAATGAAACCTCCAGCGTCTTCAATTCTTTGGCGTTCGTCAGATCTATCAGGTTTATGATCAATGGACAAGGGAATAGCTACAGTGAAACACAATATATGACGTCACAACTATTTAGTAGAAAAGAGAAAGAAAAAGTTATTTGCATATACTTTTATTAAAAAGGAAAAAACAAAAACTAGTATGTTAACTTAATGTATCCTGACAAGGCTCGTCCTTAACTTATTGAGTCATTAAAAGTAGACAGAACAGGACAAAGACATTAACCAAACTAAGCTTTTTTGTTCAGTAATTTTTTGTTATTGCCCTGAATTTTTTTGCATTATACAGTTTATAGCTCTTATAACCCCGTAAATCCCACCCTTAGCAGAGAAGACAGTAACCTGAACCAGCTCTGCAGCCGACTACTCTTGAATCACCAACATTTGCAACAAAAAGCCGATCACCTAATAGCAAAGCGGTTGATGCAGTGGAGCCAGCATCTCTCTGATAACCCTTCTCCTCATTAAGGTAATCAACATCTGTTTGTTTAAATACTTCAACTGCAGTCATAAACACAGATCTGCCTCATGCCTCATGATCACAGGGAAGAAAGTTTAACATGAAACAATGAATTCAATGGGCAAACAGAAGGAAAAGAAATAGCTCACTTCATACCAATAGCTGCCTTTGTGTCTTTGATAAAATCTGGGTGGCTACGCAAATTTTTGAAAAGGTTCTTTTTTAGATATTCTGCAGTCCTTGAACCTCCATGACCTGAAGAAATGAGCACAAAATCCATCAAAGCAGAAGAAGAGAGAGAGAGTGAGACAAGGGGGGGTTGTTAAGCAACCATCTATATTCTTCCTAACTTTATTTTTTGTCATTAGTATACATTAACCATCAAGATGGACAACCTAGACAAAGGGAACATGTGAAGAAGCAGAAATAAAACACTATCAGCCTATAGTTTCTGACACTCTGAGCCTGATGAGAGAACATGCTACAAGGGATAGGTGATAGAAACTTGTATTGTACCATCAAAAACACCAAAAAATGCAACCATCTGGCCATCAACGTCAGATATATTTGCCTCAAAATAATCCTCCATCGAAGGCCTTTTACCCTTGAAACTGGAAAATCCATAGCTGAACCTTGCATTACGGCTCCCAGTGAGAAAGCTAACAGAAAAAGAGAAGAAAAACAATTAGGTTGTCCACATAACATATGAAAATTACAATTATCAGGATTTTGATACCAAATACACTGCAGAATGGCTCCTTTAGCAAAGGCTGATGAAATATCTTGTGTAACTATAATATCACCCATCCAAGTCATATTTAAAGTTAAAACAATACTTTGAAACTGTGAAAACACAACAAACATTAAGAAAACAGAATCACATGTTTGAGTCAAAGATCATACTAACATGTAACTCAATCCCAACCAAAATATAAAGAACCTCAGCATTTTCCTTATGTGATCACTTTGACTAAGCTGAACAACATATCGAGCACAGAATTGGTGCATATTTTAATTTATTTAGATTGATGTATGTTCAAATAGCTCCACTGAAACAAGGTTAAATGTAAGGGAAATTGCTTGATAGCCATAATCAACTACTCAAGAGCGAACTCATTGGCCGTGTGTGCCTAAGTACTACCTAGTGCAAGCCGCAGGTCCAACAACCGAAGTCACAAAACTTTTAAACTCCGAGGTTTGAAACTAACTTCTTCTCTTTTCAATGTTGTTCAACAACTTCAAAGATGGCACTGAATTTCAAACTGTAAGACAATAACTCAATTATAATCTTCATTTCCATTCATCAGCTGACAATCTTTGTAGAGGAATTATCAAACATTAACAGGTTATCAGCAGACAAAAGTGGAATTTAAAGAGTGTTAAAACATTAAAAAGAATTTTTTATGAAACCCAATGGAAACACCCTCTTGGGTTCGAAAGAAAGAATTCCCAAGATTTATAAAAAGATCTTAAACAAATTAAACCAATAAGAACAACCACAACCATATTACTCAATCCTCAGTCAGTAAGAAACACCTCAAGTTCAACTGATCAAAGGGAAACCACATAGATATGTTTTCAGAGACAGGAAGCGATCCCAGTAAAAACAAAGAGTGACCCATCAAAAACAACCAAGCAATTATGAAAAATAAATAAATAAATTTTATAAACAAAAATAGTAAGAATCGGGTTTATGAAAAATGAGAAGGAACCTCACCTGATCCCACCACCGCTTTCAAGGGCATTTGGATCCTTGGAGAACATGAGAGGCTCTGGTTTTGCTGATGCAGCAGCAGCAGCAGCTGGCGGTGGTTGTGGCGGTGGTTGTGGTGGGGCCTCTTCAAGGGCAGCCTCAGAAGAGGCTGCTGCAGAGGCAGTGGTGCTTGTGGTGGTATCAGAGTCTTGTGTAGTGTTCATGATGTTGCCATGTTTTGTTTTGGTTGTGTTGTTTGTTGCATATAATAAAGAGAGGCGGTTTTACAAAGACTGAAAAAAAAAAAAAGTGATGAATCTGATGACATACCATTACCGAGGGGAATTTTATTGCCACACCCACCCGATTGCTGAAAACCACCCACATATTTTTAGAAAATTATTATTATTATTATTTTGGTAAAAGAAATTTATTGTTTTCAGTCTGACTATTTTCACTCTTATGTTTCACTAAAATACCCAAAATGGAGGTTGAAATTATAAAAAAACCCAACACCCAAAACACTTTATAAACATACCCAAAATCCATTATTACACACTCAAAACTCATTTATAAACACACCCAAAAAGTTGACTTTGGGGTTGATTTTGGGTGTGTTTCTATGTTTAAATAGTGCTTGGGTTTTTTTTATAAATACATGTCTAGAATTGGGTTTATTTATAAATTTGTACTTATTTTAATTGTCTCACATTGACTAAAAATTAGACTGAAAAAAGTTAAAAAATTTATACCTACCCACACATGCTGAAAAGGAAATTTTGTTAAGTATAAAATTGTTATATTTCATTTCATATAACTATTAGTTTTAGAAATTGTGTAAATGCATGTTTTGGAAAATGAAAACCCCATAAAAATGATATAACTTTATATTATAATAGTGGTTTTGTTTTGACTTCTCTCCTCATTCTAGCTCAAATAAAATCAAATAGCTTAACAATTAATTAATTTTATTGTGATTTAAAGGTGAAACCAATTCAAGCCGAACCACATACCTAAACAAAATGTGCCCTAAATAATTTTTTGTTCCCACTTGATAAAGAGAATTCCAACTTTATATGTCTTACAAAATTTTCGTGCCAAGTTTAAAGGTGATTGACATAGTGATTAATTATTGTGATAATCTTGGCACCCCCTTTTTATAGGTGTGAGTGGTAGTAGAGGGGTGTGGAATGGGAGATTTTTAATGCCAAAATCATCACCTTTGTATATGCAACCGAACCAGATTTAATTCCTCAGACCAGAAAGATCCGAATTTAATCCAGCCCACTATATTTTAGCCCAGTCCGCAAAATGGTCGACCCGATCCATTTGGCCCCAATTTTTGCTCTGCTCTGCTTCATCTCTCCGTTCTCTCTCTCTCACTCTCAGCCATTTCGCTCTCTCAACGTACCCAACGCTGGCTGCGGGAAAGCGAACGCAATAGCTTTAAACACACCGAGGGTTTCACGTTCTTGCAGGTAATGGAATCTTTCCGTTTTTGCAAACATTATTGCTGGAAGTGTAGAAATTCAGCTTAAATCAATAGTTTTTTTTTGTTTTTTTAAATTTATTTCATCTGGGTTTGTGTATTGTTGTGTGAGTTTTTCAATTTGATTCACTTGGCATGTGCTTTAACAGGAAATTTTTTATTTTCACTACTGAATGTATGAATATATGAACAAAATCATACTGGGTTCTTGATTTATGGGCATTTGAATTATCATGGCATTGACGTAATATCGGGTGGCTTTTGATTCATATGTGATTTCTAGTAGGTTATAAGTTGAGGGTTTTTGTTTAAACTTGCTAAAATGAATAACTTGATTTCAGATAATTAAAAATACTCATCACAGCTTCATCAACAACACTTGAAATCAAACAAAAGAGATGGTATTTGGAGCCCTAAGGTCCATTGTGCGGCCTCTATCCCGAACCCTAATATCCCGCACCTCGACATGCTCCATAACCTCATTTGCTGCCAGTTCTGTGTGCCCAAAACCTGAGACCCGCTTCCTTTCTGGTGGCCAAGCTCCGTGGTCTTTTCTGATTTCGAATCATTTCCACAGCTTGACAGATACTCGTTTCCCAAAGCGGCGACCCAGCCTCAAGTCTCGTCGAAAAAGGGCCAGCATAAGACCTCCAGGTAGCTTCTTCATCCTAAACCTGACTCTCCTAATTTGAGGTGAACTCTTATTAACTAATTACCTCTTGGATATGATTGCACTGTTGGAAATTTCATGTTTGGTTTCTGAGGAAAGAAAAAACAGAGTCTTAGCCGTCAAGTGCTGCTAATGCTTAATTTGTTGATTCACATTTAGGATTTGGGGAAATAGTTTAGTTAGAGATTTGGTTTCAATAAAAAATTCATGATATTCATTATTATTTGAATGCAGGACCGTATGCTGGGATTCAGTGTGCTCCTGGTGAACCGATAGTTCCTAGTAGACCCAATGAAGGAAGTGTGAAGAGGAGGAATGAGAAGAAGCGCATGAGGCTGCGCCGCGCATTTATATTGGTGTGTATTTCGTGAACTCTTTTATTCGTCTCTCTATTATGTTTCTGTTGTCTGTAATGGTTTAGATATACTATGGTGTTTTACGAAAATAGAAATCTAAGTACATTGTCATGAAGATAACTGGGAACTTATTCTTATCTTCTTTGTTTGGGAATTTTATTTTATTTTATTATTTTATATTTCAGTTACAAACTGTGTCATGTCTTACTCAGAAAATGCTCAGTTTTCCTGTTAAAGCTTACCGTAGAGAGGACTTTGTTTGTTTCACAATAATAATTCAGAAATTGCTCGTTCTTTACAATCAATTTAAATGGGGTAGTTGGATGAGGAATCCTTGATACAGTAGAATGAATTGGGCAATTCAACGCTATAAAAATCAGTAACACATACTTGAGCTATATTCAGTGATGCAAATATTCATATATTTGAGATGATTTTGCTTGAAAAAATCAATCAAAATTGTCCAAATCTCCTGCTCCCTTTGTCTTGGATGATACAGTTCTCTAGCTGGTCTTATAATTTCTTTTCGGTTAGCTGGTTACTTGGTTTGCATAGATTAGAACGGTAGTGAATATAGGATATTGTGCCAAGGCATCTGAAATAGTCTTACACGGTTTGGAATCGTTTTGGCCTGGAACAATCCTTAGGTTGGGATGGAATTTAATTCCTCCTCCCGCTTGCCTAAAATACAAATTTTTAACTTGAACTTCAGTCCTTATTGAAATCCCTTTTGTAGATATGCTTTTCCTCTAATACGGACTACTTTTGAGGTTGTGCAGTCAGAAAAGAAGAAAAGAAAGGCTCTAGTGCAGGAGGCTAAAAGGAAGAAGAATATAAACTGAGCTGCAGCGACTGGAGGAAGAGAAGCGAAAGTCCATGGCTTGATGACTAGATAACATTATGGTGGAACCTTGTTTGCAGATTGTAATGCTGCTGTTAGCTCTCTGTTACCGTGGAACATTCAACCTAGTTTCTTCAGGCTTGTCGGTTCCGTTTTATCTGTTTGTTTGGTTTATGGTGTTTTGCTTTCTCCAATCATACAGAGGATGGCCGTTTGGCGAATAGTTTTGTTTGTAGTCTTGTAAACTTGGTTTTGAATTCTAGCTTGCAAGGTTGAGAAAGTAGAGAAGGCATTGCGCCACCATATAAGTAACCACTGGTTTTCAATAGGTCTTATTCTTTTGATGAGATACGGATCCAGTTTCCTTGACCCAATCGTTTGTTGCTTCCTGATTTCGATATCATATTACTGATGCATCACGCCGACCAAATATAACAAGGGGTCTTGACTAATTGTGCTCAAACAACAAATTGTTGGTTTACAAGCCATTTCCGTGGCATGGATACGTGTAATAACTTGGTCTATAATTTCGCTTAAATGAGCAGTTTGCTGCACTCTAGAAACATAACATTGCATGTCTCCAATGGATCGGTGTATCAAATTATCAGTTGATGTTACCATACGGCGCAGGTCAAACTCGCTCACTTTCCAGGCTGCTATGCTATGTACAAAATGTAGTTGATCACATTTAAAATAGGAGAATCAGGAATCATTACTAACCCAGAAGTACTTGTTTGATCAAGCTTCACATTCAAATTCAGAAAGAGGTAACTGAAACAAATAAGGAAAAGAAGACAACAATCGGAAACACTGAAATCTCAGCTCTGGAAATTATAAATATATAATTGTCGGGTTAAATCACACCAAATATCACCGTATCACAGTTCCGTTAAATTTGATGATACACGAGAATTTCAAATCAGCCCCGGTAAAAAGAAGACAAATGGGTAATATGCCAACATATGTTGAAATCTCAAAATCCAATAACCCCTAGCAACAGCCACTTGTTGATGCATCAGATTCAGGAGGTTTTTGTTTGAAAATGTTCTTTTTCAAACCTGCTGAGCCCACAGTCAGGAGACTTGGTGTTTCCAATATCTGCATCAAATGGTACAATAACATCATCACAGATTCACGAGAAAACATCCAACTAAACCAAAAAGATAAGTTCGCCTGCCAGATTATCATAATGCAATCATCAAACATCCAAGTTGACATCGATCTATGAATAGTAACTTTAATATGAAAAATGTCTTGTAAACACAAACCAACTTCAACACTATCTAAGCCATTAAGAGAAATGAAGCATTATGAAATTATGGTGACAACAATCATTTCCAAAGTACCCAGTGCCCATAAATTATGGTAGCAAATCTAGAAAAAAAACCATTATCTGAACCAGTACCATCCCAGAGAACCCATATAGAAGACATCTCATAATCATTAGTAATTTAGAAAAAAGAGGGAAGCCACCATTTTGCATACCTTTAAGACAAGCTCCTCAAAGCATTGCTCAACATTTACTCGAGCTTTTGCACTACACTCAAGGAAAAGGCATCCATATTCCCTTGCAAAGTCCATCCCCTCTTTTTTACTGACAGTCCTTTCACTTTCCTGGGGGGAAAAAAAGATAACCTGAACATGGATTCTTGATGATGAATACATGAATAAAACTTGTCTTTGTCTTAGGAATGATCGCAAGCTTGACTTAGATTGCTTTTAGTTTCTATTTATCAGAATTACAACTCAGGAAATAATTACACTTAGTTATTTATATAGCTATGGTTAGGCTTTTAATTGTCATATGGCTATACAAATAATTGCAATAGATTTGGGGACCTCTGGCAGATTGATTAGAAAATGAAAAGGTCAAGATCGAGGAAATCCTACTTTTCCCTCTCTTCTAATGATTCAAGACTTCTAAGTGTCTAATGAGCGCGAGAGAGAGAATGGATAACTTCTGAACCAAATCAACGCCAACTATCCGATCCAAAAAAATAAAACATACAACACCAACTAGGCCCTAGAACCTTGGTGCAATACTTAATGAAATAATCAACAACTGAATGTGAGAGAGTACATACCTTATCGACTTTGTTTCCAACAAGCATCTTGATGCAATCTTGATTTGTGGAGTACAGGTCAATTTCTTTAGCCCATATATCAGACAAATTCGTAAATGTTTCTCTTCGCGTCACATCATACACTGCACCAGATCAATAAATAAGTACAAAGTCCCATAGATTCTCAAACAGCAGCTAACCTATAAACAATATAGTTAACAAGAGAAAAAATGTGTGCTGGATAAACACGAAAGAGACAAACATACCCATTATTATCCCTTGAGCTCCTCTGTAATATGAACTAGTAAGAGTTCTAAACCTTTCCTGTCCAGCTGCATTATGAACAATACTTTTTAAGTCAGTGAATTTGTGTGAAACTTGCAAACAATATCAAATTGAAAAACTTCTGCACCATCAAACCCAGTAATCCATTTTCTGATGACAAATAAGTAATCATATACAAGGATACACCAAATACCAAAAAATCGAAAGGTTGTAGAAACCATATAACCACCACAATAGTAAGAACTCATCATCTACTAGGAAAATGTGTTGGGTAATCTCAAAAATGGTATATGATCAAGCATTCCAAATATTTTAATTGAAGAACTTCACAATGTTGCACAATAAACTTAATCTCCATACAAAGGTGAAAAAGTACAATATAACACAACTCATTACCTGTGTCCCAAATTGCAAGCTTCAACTTTTTACCACCAAGAGTAACATGTTTTATCTTAAAATCCACACCTACAAAAACAAAATATAAAAAGCAAAATTACAAAAAGAAAAAAAAATACAAATAATAGTTTAAAAAAAAAAAATTTAAGGAAGGATAAGGTCACCAATAGTAGGAGAGAGATCCTCAAAGGTATCGGAAGTGAAACTCAAGAGGAGGGTGCTCTTTCCAACCCCAGAGTCCCCAATCAGCAACAGCTTGAACAAGTATTCGAACTCCGCTTCACGAGACGACGTCGTTGCCGACTCCATCAAAATCAAATTCGAAAACGAAAACCCTACAAATGGTACAACGATTGGCCTGACCGAAGCTCTTTGGGAAAGAAAGTAAATGAAGGAGAGTAGTTGTTGCAGAGAAAAAGAAAAAGAAAGAAGGCTCTGAAGTCTTCTTAGAATAAAGAAAGTGTGATTTATTGTTCGGTGGATTAAGCCTTTTATACTGCTACCGACATTACCAGCCGTTGGATCACCACGTGGCGTGACACTGACGCAATGAGGTAGCTTCTTCTTTCCGTAACGTGTTTGATTTAATGAAATGTTCGTGTGCCCTGCTGTGACTCTGTTTCGCTTTAAAAGAAACGGAGGGAAATTTTGTCGACATGGTCGCGTTCTGTTTATTAATATCTCGTTTTTTTTTTTTTTTCTTAATATTATATGGAGGATAAAAAAGTGTCCAATTTACGGTAAGTTAAAAAAATTTGTCGACAGGGTCGCGTCCTCGATCTAGCAATTTAATAAATTTACTGATAAACGCTCAGACGAAATATGAATTTTAAAAAGTAAGATAAATTCAGGCCAAAAGAAAGTAGAATAAATTTTTTTTTTTACTTTTTTTTTTTTATAACATACAAAGGAGTGTAAGTGAATAAAAGAGAAGTGAGAACGTACAATTTCTAATAAAAAAATTATAAGTGGATAAAAAAGAAGTGGAAAAATCAGTTCCCTTAAAAATGCAATAATATACTTGAAAATATAAATATTATATTCCATAAAATTAGGAAATAAATTGTACAAAGTAAATAATAGTGTTCTATGAAAAATGTTTGGCATAATGTTTAGCCCCTCAAGTTGACAATAATTGCGATTTCAAACTAAA